CCTGGCTAAAAAAAAAATAAAAAGTTCTTATGCTCTTCCCTGTCTGTTGTAAATCCTGCCCTGTGAGCTGCAGACACAGGAAAACCTGTCAGTTGCTGGGTTCACACCTGTTTCTCTGAAGTTGTGCTTGGAAGGATCTCTCTGCTGTCTGATACCATCTCCTGAAATTTTATCTGATGAGCTGTGGCTCTCAGTGACTTACAACTGACAGTTAGACACAATTTACACACACACACACAGAGCCACACAAACATGCCCAGCTTGGTTTGCCCAAAAAATCCTTCCAATTCCCAACTGGAAGGATTCAATTCATTTACTAGAGCCCAATTTTCTAGCAATTTCACCAATCCTAAAATCTGAGTTGGGCCATATAAAATTTCTGTCTGGCATTGGCTACTTTGGACTGAAAGACTGATGAGTAGAGGCCACATTCTATGTTTCGCAATCTTCGCATTTTGTTAGTGTTCGTATCTCTCACAAGACTTCATTTTATCCTGTTTTTACTGTGATTCAGTGTTCTACAAGCAGATTGTGTGAAGGGAAACTAACCTGATGCTGCACATTTTGCATTACAGGCTCAGAACTTCTCAGTCTAAATAGCAGTGCCTAATGGCAGCTGATTTAAAAGCAATTTATAAGGACAAAATAAAGACTTTGGAAGATTTCATTTAATTTAACAGGTGCAAGAAGAAATAAAATGCCTCATCTGTCCATCAGTAGAGGCACAAACATTCTTAAACATGAAATTTAGTGTAGCTCTATGCACATCAAATTAAGAAATACATTTTGGCATAGAAATGGGTAAACTATGTTTGCCTTTGACTTCTTAACTCACTAGGGAGATTCTTGCAATGCCTCTGCATTAAGCAATAACCAAGAAGTTACAGACACAAAGTCAGTGATTCCAGACTCTCTGGAGTTCCTGCATTGTTTGGATCATTTTCCTGTTTGCACTGCAGATATTACTGTACAGGTGGCATAATTTGTCCCTGGAGAGGAGTGAGAGGAGTGGGCTAACAGTAATCTCCACACCAGCTGAAAGAGCTTTATGTGTAATTAAATTTAAGCATCTTAACATAAAATAAAACATGTTAATACAATGGATGAATCTATATAAATCCATTCATATAACACTCATTTTCATTTTCACTCAAGGCCATTTATACAAAGATATATAAGCATATATTTTAATCCTAATTCACATGTCTACATTTCAAACATTTGCCTTCAAACCCAAGCTGTCAGTCAGAGGACCTGCAGAGGAATTGCATTTGTGTGCAGTGTTCTTCACGCACGTGAAACCACAATGAAGTCACTGAGGTCTCTGGTGTAAAATCTGTTTCTATGGAAAGGACGTGACATACAGAGACACTATTTGCTGAGCTAGCAGACTTACTGGAGGCAGGAAAAAACAGAATTCTGTCTGAAATATTTAAACTTCTCATTTTAAAATGAGTTCTGTTGAATTTCAGTTACCAGATGCAGCGTCACCCAAATCAGCTGCAGTTGTGTCAGGCTGTACCAACTTCACTCAAACTATAAAGTTTCTTTCAAAGCTGTTGTGCTGCACATCTCTCAAAGATTATGGTCCATTAATGTGAATTATTCTCCCATCCTGTATCACACTTTATTCTGTGAAGCAGGAGTCCTTGCACAGCCACACACCCACAGATTTGCAGTTCAACATTTCCCCTCCCTGAGGAAACAGTGTCTCTGATTTCTGCCAGGAATTCTGTCTGCTTCATTGTCACTCACCACCAGCATACGAAAACATCTTCCCAGAACTGGAAAGCAGAATATGGAAGCTGTTCACAACAGGCAAAAATTATAGTAGTCCCAGTTTGTAGGAAGAGAAGGTATATTTTATTATATATGTATTTGGGAAAACATACGTATTTCACCAGTTCTCTTTGAAAACTTCAGGCTATTACTGATATCCTTGGTGATTCAATTGTTCAAAATGGCAAAAATAATGTTCAGTTCCTGTGTCTAACACAGGGACTGAGGCTGGGAACTTTCAGACACTTCCAGATGAATGAGATAAAACCCAAGAAGTGTCACTCAAGAACTATTGCTTTGCCACTTTGTCTCCCTCAAAAATAAAGTTTTCTGTAACAAATCACTGTTAAAAATTTATATAACAGGCATGGGTTTTTTCCAGCTCTGTGGCAGGTGTGGTATTACTGAAACTACTGTATTTGTTTTTCTAACTTTACATATAAGCTTTTCCTTATTTTGTCACAGTGCAAAAAGTGATGCTGAAAGTTTCTGTCATTATTTCCATCACTATGTTTCAGTCATATTTAGGGTGAGCGGAGAGCTAATTCCTTTTGAACCAAAGCCCCTTGCTCAGCATGAAACATGACAAACTTAAATTCTGGTGGTAAGTTCTGCTACAATTCTGAGATTATCCCTTCTCTGTCTGCTTTATCCTATCCACTGCAAGGTTCAACACACTCTCACCTTAAAACCAGAGCTGAATTAAAAATTAGTGAGAAACAGTTAAAATAATTATTTTAATATATTATCAGCTGGCTGTAGCACCCCATGCTCCTTAAAAGACCACAGTGTAATTCCAGGTTCAATTCTGACATCCTCACCTGATTTCACTGAACCTTTGCTTATCCAGCCTCAATTCCTATGATTAAATAAACATTTAAATAACATAAATATCCCATAAGAACACAGTGACCTGGACATCTCAGCAACATTTCCATATTTATCTTCACAATCCTGAACATCTTAAAACCAGACAGAAAAGTGCTATCAGAAGGCAAACAGATCCCACAGAGCTCCTTGGCTGGCACAGTTACAAACCCTCACTGCCAAACACAATGTGCAGCAGCTGGGTATGGAATAGAACCATAACAGCTGCAGCACATCAGATCTTCATGCAAATTCAAAGGTTTTTCTATTTTAATAGGGAAGAGTTCTAGGGAACCAACGGAGCAGAACAATTCTTCCTGTGCAAACAATGTCATGTAGATACAGGGTTACACTCTGCACTTGCCAGGATGCTCACCATGGGTTTTACAGACACTCAAATAAGCCTGCAAAATCAACACATTTCCGCTGAAAATCCAGGAAAAGTTATTAGTCATTCCTTTGGGAAGCCAAGAAGTAACAACAGCACAGACAAAGGCTGAGCTTTGAAGTTTTAAGAGTAGGGCTTGAGATTGCTGTAGAGATCACGGTGAATCCAGCCCAAGCCCGGGGGCACGGAGGTGACAAGGGGCAGGAGACAAGGGACAGAAAAGTGACAAGGGGGAGATGACAAGGGACAGGTGACAAGGAACAGACAGGTGACAAGGGGCAGGAGACAAAGGAGAGGTGACAAGGGACAGGCAAGCGATAAGGGACAGGAGACAAGGGACAGGTGGCAAGGGACAGACAAGGGACGGGTGACAAGGGACAGACACGCAACAAAGGGCAAGAGACAAGGGACAGACAAACGAAAAGGGACAGGTTACAAGGGACAGACAATCGAAAAGGGGCAGGAGACAAGGGACAGGTGACAAGGAACAGACAAGCGACAAGGGGCAGGTGACAAGGGACAGGCGACAAGGAACAAGTGACAAGGGACAAACAAGCAACAAGGGGCAGGAGACAAGGGACATGTGACAAGGAACAGACAGGTGACAAGAAACAGGTGACAAGAAACAGGTGACAAGGGACAGACAAGGTGTCTGTGACAAGGAACCGATAGGCAACAAGGGGCAGGAGACAAACGATAGGTGACAAGGGACAGACAAGCGACAAGGGATAGGAGACAAGGGACAGGTGACAAGAGACAAACAGGCGACAAGGGGCAGGAGACAAGGGACGGTGACAAGGAACAGACAAGCGACAAGGGGCAGACAGGTGACAAATGGAGCGCACACAGCAATGAGCCGCTGCCTCCAGGGCTCCATCACCCGGCGATGCCCGCGGGCGTTTCCCCCGCGGCGCTCCCGCATCCCCGGAGCAGCATCCCGGGAGCAGCGCCCCTGCCCCGCCCGGCCCCGCTCACCCAGCCCGGCATCGCTCACCCGCCCGGCCGCGGCGCCCATCAGCGACGGCATCAACGCCAGGATCAGTGCCGGGATCAGCACCGGGATCAGCCCCGGGATGGGCCCCGGGAGCAGCGGCCGCCTCGGCCCCATCGCCGCCAAACGCCCCGGGCGGGCCCGGCCCCGCAGACGCCGCCCCGGGGCCGCGGCTCCCCCGCCCCGACAGCGGCGCCGCTCGCACCGGGCTGATTGCGGAACAAACAAAGGGCACAACCTCTGTGGAACCGCTGCAGCCGGAGTGTTTATTACAGCGCTGGACGCACGTGGGCATCGTTCCTCTAAAATGACATGCGTACCTCCGGGAACTCCAGATGCTTTCTTAAATCTCCCTCTCAAATACATACGCATGCAATTTCACAATGGGTTCATACATATTCATTTTACTGATTTTGCTGCTAATTTTTGCTTTATCAGAAAGAATTCCTGGGTCATTTTGACCTTGCTTTCTGCAGCAGCCTCTCTGTGTATCCGTTTCAGAGTTCAAGGGGCTTCTCCTTTATCTCTGCCCTTCCACTGAAGCAGTTCCTTAGAGCATAGGTTTTTTGTGAGAAAACAAAGTCACACCAAACAGCTGTGTTTGCAAGCTACAGACTTAATTCAAAGATGTACATTTCACTTAAATCAAAATGGATTTCTACTCTGGAAGATTTCCACTCTGTCTCGTGGTGTGTGTGGAGGGTCTGTCTCTTCAGCCCCACTCATAGAATATTGAGTTGGAACATTGAAATGCAACTCCTTCACCCCACAGTACAAAGTTACCTTTGCAGCATTCCAATATTCATTAATACTCATTAATACTCATTAATACCAGTCACTTGTGTGTCACATACAGCCAGGATGGTACAGACAGACTTTACAATAAATTCAGCCCTGCTCCTGAGAAAAACTCGAATCCACTAAGAGCTCCATGAGCTTCAAATGGCTTTCTTGCAAAAATATTCCTTCTGAGACTGAAATTATCAACAATTTAACATTTGCATATCAAACAGGAAAAGCGTCGCCATGGCTTAAAATCCATGAAATTTTTAATTCAGAGATTACCAGCATTATTAAACCAACTAATTATAGCACATCCAGCAGGTTGCAAGGCATATTGTTCCTTTAGAAAGCTGTTCTAGTGAAAAAGATTAATTAATATACAGAGTGGAAATACACAATTACAGTCATTGCAGAACAGCCCCAAACAATCACAGCCAGGTAAATGTGGTTATTCAGTTTGTGGATTCACAAACTGGTGTTCTGTAAAATGAAGTGTGTAGTGAAGTTAAAGTAGATGTGGAAAAGGTCAACTAAAGTAACCAAGTGGAGCCTCAAACTTACATGAGTAAAAAGAAAAGGTGGGACTCAACCTGGAGGTTTAGTTCAATCAAAGCTGAGATACAATCAATCACTAAAGCAACTTGGTTGAAAAAAAAAATACAAAAAGCAACTCACTGACTTCTATAAGGCAACAGCTAGTGACATTCACTGAAATAAAGAGGCCAGTTCCAAAGTGCTAAAATCCTTTACACAGTGCATGATAGCTGTAATCTTTTGCCACAGGAATCTGCTTATGGAGGCAGATTGTACTTGGAAATACAAAAGAGAGAAGAAAAACTAATGGTGATCTAAGAGAATAATAAATCAAACTCTTTGACATCCTCAACCCAATGCCAGCTGCACCTGCAGCACCATGAGGAATGCAAACAGCAGCTATGGTGTTCCTAACTAATCCAATCCCTTCCTGCAGCTGTCAGAGCTGAAATGTTGGGCTCAAGCTGCAGTCTGGCCCAAGAAGGTGATTTTGTGCCCTTGTGCTCACTCTGAGACAGAAGTCACTGAGCAAGCAATGGGTTTTGTGGTTCCCTTTTTTGATTATTAAGACACACTTTGTCATATTGCTCATTTTCCATTGGCCTGTGCAGAAGGGTAGTCAGCACTATTACATTTACAGTTACTGAACAAGCAGCACTGAAGATTTAAAAATAGCAGAACACAGGCCAGTTGGCCACCAAAGAGGTTTGTTTTTAAAGGATATGCAAATCAGTGTCACCCTGATGGTTAGGAACAATTCTAAAACAAGTAGATTTTACCAATGTTCTAGGAAATAACTGCTGTGCCTCTTTTTTCAGTAGAAAAATGGTTTCTTTTCTTCATTTCTCTTTTTACAGGCTCCACATTGGGCTTAACCCATAGTTCATCCAATTGCCAGATGCTCAGCCAGTTTGGCTTCCATCAGAAGAGGCTGTTTTGTACACTTACTAATGATTTGATGTGGGCAAAAAAATAAGAATTTGACTTCAAAACCTAGAAAGAATAGCCTAAAGTACAGTGGATGTCAACTGTTTTGTTTGCCTTCTGTTTTCATAGCCTGTGTGGCACCTTTTGGTCCTAATTCCTCAAGAAACATGAAATCCACAAACTTGAGAGTTATGTTTATGCTAGGGAAAACCGAGATTATTATCATTTTCAATCAAAAGTTGAAGCCTTGAGTAAATGCCAGAGGTTGCAAAATATATTACAAAACTGAATGTATTGGAGTAGAGACAACGTGGCTGAGTCTCAAGCTTGACTCAGAATCCTGGCCAGAATTTTCACAGCTAATAGCAGTAACCAGACATGGATTTCAATCCGTTCCTTCACACTGAGAAAGCAAGCTGTGAAACTTCAGCTGACATCCAGATGTCCTCTAAATTCGGCAGCTTTGATTCAAATTTGTTGTCAGTATGATACTGGAGATGGGGAAATGGGAGTATTTGATGCCAGCTATGAGGGCCAGCAGTTTGGATGATCCTCTCCTTTGTGAGATGAAATAGGTTCCAACTCCTTGTTTGAATGTGTTTCAGTGTTTTCCAGGAGTTTCCCAATAATCCAAGGCACACTGTGTGTACCCCCCTTGTCACAAATCCAGCCTTAGTGTCACCCTGGATGATTCTGTGTCTCCCCACACCCTCTCTGTGGGCTGTCACTTCTCAGTGGCAGTGGTGGGGTGGTGAAATTCCTTTCCCTCCTCTTCCACAGGCACCATGACCTCATTCCCTGGAAAAGACTCTGTTTCCTGCTCTGGGTAGTGCATTTCCAGCTCCTCTTCTGTGTTTTCCTGGGCATCAAGGGCACTTTCACATCCTTTGACAGCACAGTTCTTGCCACTGGGCACCTCTGAGACAGACCCCACGATAACAGTGTCGGCCTTCATGATGTAGAGTTTTTCTGAGGAAGGAGAAAAGTAATGCTGAGCATGATGAAAAGTCACTGCTGCCCCAGAAATGGCTGGTTTTTTATGTAAAATTTTTATTAGCACTCTGGACATTTCACATCAAGTAGATTGTGCTTAAGCCACTGAGCTAGAGGTGGAGCTACACAAGGAAAACCAAGTGGAAAAGGCAGAAGATGTTCACAAGGATCTGTCAGAAGAAGCAACTAATTGGGATCTAAAGAATCCAAGGTTTTTGCTCCTGCTGTTTCAAGAAACAGCACCATGTAAAAGAAACCTGAACATAAGTTCTGGGTTCTTAGGACCTGCAAAGAAATTAGTTTCTTTCTAAATGAGAGTAAACTACAAAGTTTTCTGAATCTTGGGTCCAGCTTGTTGTTGTACTCCTTCACAGAAAGGTAAATAAATTTTTCAATGGCTTAATTCAGCAGGATGCTGCACATCAGACAATGTAGGGAGATATTTGGATATGGTAAATCAAATAATCACATTCATCCCAATCCATCATTCACAGTAAAAAACAGGAAGAGTGTTCAGTAAGGAAAGGTCAGTTTTTGTAATATGAAAAATAACCTTCAAATAACCTCAAATTGGGTTTGGAAGCACTGCCAGAGTATCCCAGGTAAGAATTCACCCCCTGTGAATGAGCTCCTTGCCTGAATTTATCTCCCACCCTGTGCCATGATCAAAGCCTTCATGGGAGCACATGGGAGATACATTTCAATCCATTATTATGAAACCAGGGAAGAAATTTACAGCTAAGTACAATTCTCATTCAGTATGACAGCATCACCTTCCTGCTGACAAAATTCAAATTTCTTCTGTAAAATCTACATATTCCAGAATGAAAAGGAGGAAGAAGGGAATTTTCTGTCAAATTCATAGTGAGTAAGACAAAGATGAAAAAAAGAAAGCATTATATTCATATGAATAGGTATTTTTGGGTCAAAGATCTGGAGATTCAGCACAATCTTTGTTAGGAGATTTGGATACTGAAATTCACTAATAATCTTGGGATGACAGTTAGTGCCATGTCTGAAAATTTGAAAAAAGAAGATGACAAAAGGAAATATAAAAGCAAGACTCACCAATTCTGTTATTTGTGTGGTCTCTGACTCGAGGATCCACAGGGCACTCTGGGGCAGTGCCAGTGCTTGGTCCCACCTCAGCCACACTCCAGGGAGGACTCTGGGCTTTTTCTGGGCTGGACACCAAGTTATTGTTGGTTTCCAAAGGAACGGTTCTCTCAATTAACTCCTCCTCTTCCAGCCCACTCTCAGTGGTCAGAATGATCTTCTGCCAATAGAAACAGGAGAGCAGGAGTGGGGTGAGTGTAAAAGCACCTTGGGCATGGCAACAGGTCCACAATAGCAGAATGTCCTTCTTGCAGGAGCAAATTAACTCCTACAAAATCAGGGAGCAAAATTCAGCCTCAACCTGAGGAGTGTCTGCAGATAAAAATGTGATTTTAAAGGCAACGGAAAAAGCAAAAGTTCTTTTTTTGTGTTTGTGATTTTTATACCTGATATTTTATACCTGTTTGTGATTTTTATGTCAATGCCTTTAGTATCCATGTCCTTCTTATCCTCTTTTATTTCTTTTATTCACTTCTCCTGTTTGAGACTCAAAATAGACCAGAAGCTGGATTTAAATACTATTAGTGTTTAAAATCTTCAGGAGATTCTGTGTTGCCTCACTCAAAAATAGCAATGTTCCAAAGCACCCAACAGGTGTGGGAACTTCAAACTCCCTGCATCACTCAAGACTATATTTCAAAATAGTGTTTCTAAGCTGAATTCACAGATTTCTGATGGCATTTTCAGGAATATACCTCATTTCCACTGAAGAAAATATGTTTTAGTTACCTCTTGGACTTTGCAAAGACTTATCATGTTCCTATGGAAGAATAAAACAAGCCAGAGGCCAAACTGATTTAACTTCAAAATGTAATGTCAGATAGAAGAAACAAGCTCAGAATACCTAACACATGAAGAATTAATTACAGGCAAGAATTAATTACATACAAGAATTAAGAACAAGCAGTTCTTTAAAAGGTGAACCAAAATCTGAGAGAGGGTAAAGGTCCTGCATCACAATTTTCTGGTGGTTCTGATCTTCTATTTCCACAAGGGTGGGAATGAAAAAAAGAGACTTTGAAATGTGCACCTTATAAGCCTTCACATTTTTTCACAATTTTCTGCATCACAGTTTTCTGGTGGTTCTGATCTTCTTCTATTTCCACAAGGTTGAGAAAGGAAAAAATTATTTCGAAATGTGCACTTTATAACCCTTGCTTACGTCTGACTCTCTATAGAGGCAAGAACTGAAGCTCCTCACCATTCCGGAATTCACAATTACACACTGAAATTATGACAGCTGATTGCAACCAGAGTGACTGGGAAAAGCAATATCTTGTGTGTGTGCAGACACACAACTTTTAAAAGCAAACTCATTTAAAACAAAGCAAAAAAAAAATTAACAGTCTAAAGAGTGATTTAGCAGATCTGGACATTTAAAGATAAAAAGCCTAATAAACTGAGAAGACTCAGAGAATGAAAGTGGCTGTAATTTCACCTACAGAGGGGAAATTAAACAAACAGTGATGATTTCAGCAGCTTTCTGTTGCCATATTGACTGATGTTTGTCCTGTTCACCTGCAAACTGTGCTGTAACACCTTTGTCCTGAAGGAATGGCAAACCAAACCCACTGTGCGCCCACACCACAGCCATGCCAAACCCTGCAGAGGGAAGGAAGTGTGGAGGGATGGAGAAGAAAAGCACAAATCCCATCTGTGGGACTGGAGCAGGAAGATAAAATGGGAGTGACACACAAGAGTTCATCCAGAAGGAAGAAAAGGCATCTTCATCTGTGATTTCAGATCTTGTACCATGGAATGCACCATGAATGGCTGAACACCAAACCAGATCCACTCACAAGCAGGGCTGGCAGCTGTGGAAGAGGTTTTACAGCAGCTTCTGTCAGCCAGAGAGAAGTTTGATAACAGGATCCATGTTCACCCCTGAAAGAATTTTCTACCAAGGTTGTTGACATAGAAACCAAGAAAGAAAGAAGGATAAATTACAGAAACCTGCAACTGCTTGTTCCAATGAGCACTTTATTTGTCTTTCCTGACCAATGAGTAAAGTGTAAATTGATGAGTTTTGTAAGAATGTATAAAAAGCATGCAGGCTAGAATAAAAACAGTTTGAAGCCTTTTGAAAATGGAGAGTTGCTTTGTATTGTGACTGTCTCAACTATGACATTATTTAACACCACATTAACCTCAGCTCAAGGCATGAAAATATCAAGTCCTAATACATCTCATCCCACCTAAATTATTGCATATTGTAGAGGGAAGTCCAAACTAAAAGGCTGGCACTTTTTAGACAGGACATTTGAAAAGAACATGATTTACTTTGGCATGGAAAGTGATCTGTTGTGGAATATTGTTCACACTTACTGCACATTTGTTCACGAGATCTGAACCTGCAATGGAAAGGAAAAACATTATCAGAAGAAACATCATAAATATTTTATGAAGTAGATAGTAATAGTAATAGTAATAATAATAATAATAATAATAATAATAATAATAATAATAATAATAATAATAATAATATGCTCTGAAAGATCACCTAGCAATGTACTTCCTGAACCACCCCATGTGCATGATGGTTTTCTTAAACCATCTCAGGGCACACTGAAATGAAAACTCAGGTTCACCTCACACTCCTGAGGTGAACCAGCAGCAGGTTCCTGCCAAGACTGTGCTATCCTGCTGTCCCCAAAGCCTCTTGAATCACTGTCCCCACACCACAACTGGTACTCATATTATGAAAAAATGAACTGATGGAACTGTCTAGATAAGAACAATACAAGCTTATTAAAAAGAAAAAAAAATTAATAACTTTCTGCTGGATTAACAAGTTTGGTCAGTTCATGAAAATGTCAGAGGATTATTAAGGGGGTGGGATTTTATGCACAGTTCCATTAACAGGGAGCACTGGGCAAAGAGGAGAGGTGAGAAGGAGGGAGTGTACAACACTTGCAGCACCATGAAGGTAGATGGGCTCAGACTTATTCTCTAATTACACCCTGATGTGCAATCACCTTTATTTTCAGAGCATCAGCTCTGTAATGCTGCACAGTAACAGCTTCTATTGTGCAAGGCAAGTGAGGGAGAAAAAAATCCCATTTTGAGAAAATTAAGCTGCACACAAGTTTTTAAATTGTATTCCTGAATGAATGAATATAGAAAGCTCTGCTGTGTGGTGATTAGAATCTGACACAACAGTGGCAGTGGAATTGCTGAGAGGGCATCAGCTGAATGGGTAAAATGTTTGCATTTTATGGGATCTGGGCAGGTTTTTTAATGAACCACCTCCCATATCTGACTGATTGAAAGCAATCAGGCGTTTTCCAGCACTGACACATCACCCAGCCCTCAGCAGCAGTGGGGACAAAGTGCCATCTGCTGGCACCTGCTCACACCCAGCTCAGGAGCAGCAGCACTGGCCCCTGCATGGGACAGCAGCAGGGACATACATGGGACATGAGAAGCTTCCACTTTTTATAAAATTCTATAAAATAAAATCCCACGTTAAGCTATCTATATAGCAGATATTTTTGCCCCAACAAAGGAGAGGAATGATGAGGAGGATTCCATCTTACAGAAAACTAATTAATTACTTTATTATACTATATTAGTCTATATTATATTACACTATATTATATTACATCTAAACTGAATCTGCCAAATGATCAACTGCACAAAATCTCATGACTGTCAGCCCACAGTCCCAACACACACACACCTGGATCCAATTGGTCCGTGAATCAAAACACTCGCACAGAATCCAATTAAAAATTCCCTTGAGGTAATTTATCAATTCTCTTCAGGTAATTGATCAATTCCCTTCAGGTAAACAATCTTCCACCATGCAACCCACTTGTGAACAACACAGGCACAGCAAATGATAAGAATTGTTTTTCCTTTCTCTGAGGTTCAGAGAATGTGAAGCCCAGAAATATTCTTGGGAAGAATTGTGCCTTGCTTTTCTCTGTGAAGAGAAATGTGGTGACACCTGTCTATTTATTCTTCAGACACAAGGATGGCCCTGCTGGCCCCTCAGTCACTCACCTGGAGGCTTGAGCACGTATTTGTGTGCGATGACCGAGTGCAGGTGTGCTGGTGAAAGAAACTTTCATTTAGTGCAAATCACCATGGAGCCTGAGGGCCCCAACAGCTTCACCACACCCACAGATCTACAACCAACCTACAAAGGTGCACACCCTGCTTTCTATAAAAGAGGGAATGTGGTTCTGCAGACACACCCCAGGTGTAACTGCAGGCAAAGTCAGAGTCAGTAAAAATCGCCCTTCCTCTCATGCCCAAAGCCCAGTTCTGTTCCCAGAACCAAAACCTACTCACACAACACTTCAGGGATCATTTAATACTAATGTCTGAGGTAACAATACTAATTTATACTACTGTTAATACTGTCATTGTCATCTGACAATACTAATTTAATACTAATGTCTGAGAGAAGAAACAGCTAGTTACCTTTTCCCTTCTTGTAGGTCTGCTTCCCTCCCTAAATTCACAGCTGTTTCCATCTTTCATGTTCTCCAACATCCTGCATGAGCAGCTTGCCTTAAACCCTTACCTGGCCTGTAGAGAACATTCTCTTCCCCAATGACCTCCACAAATATCCCCATATCTGAGTTTCCCATCTGCTGTTTGGCAGATGCAGTGTTACAGCTTGAAAAACTCACGCTTTCTCCTGAGGACCAGGATCCTCTTCTTGCAAACCTTCCACTTCCAAAACACCAGCATGGCCCCAAGCAGCACTGCCAGGGAGAAAACCACTGCCCACAGCACCACACCTGCAGCACAGAGAGGGAGCACAGGACAGGCTGAGAAAAGGCAGAGGGAAAGCCCTGAGTAGATCTGTGGGTTTGAACATAGGACCATAGGCATCACAATTCAGAGGGGATTTGCAGGAAGTTCCCGCATAAAAATTGTGTTTACCAAAGATGCTTCCAAAATAAAAAGTGCTGGAGAGAGTAAATGTTAAATGAGTAAAGCTAAAAGAGTTAAATGACTTAAAAGAGACTAAATGCTGTGCCTGTGTTACCTCCTGTTGTCATCTCCCCCTTGGCTGAGGTGGGAGCCTGAGCTTTCTCCTGAGGAGTTGAGCTGGGATTTTCAGTTGTTGTGACACTTAGAAGGTCACCACTAGCTGAGGTTACCAGGTTCTCCTTTAATATTCTCAGGTCAAAGTTCTTTGTTTCGTTGCTGAATCTCACGGACAAAGTGCTTGGGGTGAGGTAAGTGGGCAGCTGCTCCAGGCAAACTTGGTCGTGGGTGGCATTTCCTTTCCTTAGGGTGACTTTGTTCAACTTGGCACAGCTGGGTGCGAAAAACAACAGGAACAAGGCACACGTGTTTGCCATGTCACAAACATCCCCTTGGTCATTTTTGTACCAACCACAATTATTGCTTTCTGTGTAAAAGTCATCATTCTTCTCATCCCTGTAGCACTAATTCTTGGCTTGTGCAAAGCTGCTGCTCACACGGGTGTGCAATTCCACTGTACTTAGTAACTAAAAATGAGGCAAGCAGGATTCCTTTTTCCTTTTCC